CAAAAAAAAAAAAAATCTAGGTTATGCCATATTAACGTAAGTGTTTGACATAAATTTTGATATAATATATACGTGGTAAATTAATCATATATTTTTACACATCAAGTTAACTTTTAAATCTACAAATTTTACCCACACACAAATAACATTTATGTCAATATATAAACAGATTTTACAAGAAATTCGATCACTCTTTAATATATCAAATTAATAACTTTTTTTGCACCAAAAAAAAAAAAATAATAATTACTTTTTCAAGATGATCTATTAATGAAAAACTACACTGATATATAGACAAAAGTATTATTAATTGCCAACCAAAAAGTATTTCATCAGAAATATTATTTTTAGAAATTATATTATCTATTAAACTAAATAATAAAATTATCATTTATCAAATTAATATATTTATTTATCCATTATTACATATCAAATGGATTATAAACATTTATAATAAATAACTAGCGAGTTACTAATCGCTATGATACAGTTTGGTTTATTGGTCGCCTCCGGATCTAGGGTGGATCAAATTGAATACCGATGGCGCTTTTGACGTGTCCTCTGGCTTCAATAGTGCTGGTGGCCTTCTTCGAAACGAGTGGGGTGGTTGGACTACGGGTTTTCTTATGAATATCGGCTACTGTACCATAACTGGGGCCGAACTGTGGGGTATTTTTCAGGGGCTTTAACTTGCATGGGATCAGGGCTTTCGCCAAGTTAGGGGGGAAATAGATAGCCAGTGCGTATTGCAGATGATTATTGGCACCAGTTCCATTTCTGGGGCGCATGAAGCTTTAGTCAAGGCCATTAGGTATTTGCTCCAAAAAGAGTAGACTATTCACCTCAGTCACGTGCATAGAGAGGCGAACTTTGCTACTGATCATTTGGCGAGCTTAGCGTCTGCTGTTCCGATTGGTCTTCATGTGTTGGCCACTCCCCCCTAATTTGGGTGATTGGCTCGAACATGATGTGATCGGAGTTTCTTATCCCCGTCAAATTATAGTCTAGCTTTGGGCCTACGACCTCTTTTCTTGTACAAAAA